CGGGAACGGCCTCAAATGCCGACGGCCGGACAGAGCCTCCTTTATAAGGGGTTATTTGCACTTTTGAAGTTAGTTCGAGGGCCTATTTGACCCTTTAGCCAAAATAATATAAAAGACACATAACCTTGACGAAGAAGGCAAAAACGACGAGGAACGGAGAGGAATGGCGGCGGCTTCGAACGACGGTGAGCGGCTTCGAATGACGGAGACCGGCGGTGGACGACGAAGAGCGACAGTGGACAGTGGCTGAGGTCGGAGGAAGTAGGATGAGAGAAGGGAGAGACTGAGACCGAAGTAGTTTAGGGTTTTTTTAAGCGTGGGGATGAAAAATTCGTTAAGTGTTGGTTTTATATTAACATTTTGTCACGGACGTATCCGTGACAAAAACCGTGAAAATTTTGAAATTTCAAATTTGTCACGGATTTTGTCACGGATTTTGTCACGGATTTGTCTGTGACAAAAATGAATTTATTCCTCTGCCCGTGCATCCTTCCCGAGGCCCTGACATTTCGGCTACCGTGAGCCTGTGAGAAATTGGAATTTTGAAATTTTTCACGGCTTTTGTCACGGATCCGTCCGTGACAAAGGCCTTGGTAGCCGAAATGTTAGGGCCTCGGGAAGGATGTCAGGCAGAGGAATAAATTTTATTTTATCACGGACGAAACCTTGCCTAGTTTGTGTATAAATAATTTTTCATGCAAAATAAAATTTGTAAACAAACAAATTTTCTTATTAAATAAATCTTGAAATATGAATGAAATTATGACCAACCTTTCAAATCTGTGCATCTAACGATAGAAAACGGGACCTCCATTCAGAGCCTCATATGGAAGATGTAAGAAAGATGTTCCAGTCCATAGAAATAGGATGGAGGCAGTATTTTTTCCAAATTACACATCAGAATGGGAACATAGTCTTCTATCTCTAGAGGGAATCAACATCCAAAACGGTGGAACATATCTCAGTGCAATCGGCAGAAGTATTTGCACCATGACTTTTCATGCTCGACGTCATGCTAAGGTTTTTCATGTCCACGCATTTGGACATGTTAGAGCAATACCCATGAGGAAACTTTAGGGACCCAAGTCACTCTAACATTTCTTTCTTTTGTGCATTTGTGAGGTTGTAGACTGCTTTTGGAATTTTACCCTCATGTTCTAGATCAACAGAAAGCTCGGGTCTATCACACCACATTGTCATGTCCTTTCTAGATGCAAGATCGTCTTTGGTTTTGTCTTTGAAATCCATCACCGTGTTAAATATATTGTCAAGGACATTCTTCTCAATGTGCATGACATCTAAATCGTGACGAATGAGAAGGTCTTTCCAATATGGCAACTCCCAAAATATACTCATCTTTGTCCACTTATGGGTATCACAATACCCATCTGGATCCTTGTGTGGCTCTTGCACAGCCGTAAGAATACGTAGAACTCAGTTAAAAATTTGTTCGCCAGTAAGTCTCAGAGGTGGGGGGTCTTGTACCCCTCTTCCTTTAATGGAAGACTTTTTGTCCCTTGGATATCGATGGTTTGCCGGGAGAAACTTGCGGTGACAATCAAAGTAACTTGGTTTCCTGCTGAATTTGAGCCAATTGGCACATGATTTTTTCATACATATCGGATATCTCAGAAGACCGTGTGTGCTCCATCCCGAAAGCATACCATAGGCAGGGAAGTCGCTAATGGTCCACATGATGGCAGCTTTCATGATAAACATTTCATCTCAATAAATATCATAAGTTGGTGTCCTCATGGCCCAAAGTTCTTTCATCTCCTTGATAAGGGGTTGGAGATAAATTTATGTCCTTTCTTAGGACACACATGAGTGAGGACAAAGTGCGTGGTAAAGGCTCGTGGTGGTTTGTGAGAACAGTACTAGAGGTCTGGAGAGTATCTATGAGTAACTACCTCGGGCCATACGGGGCGGGGTGTTACAGGTGGTATCAGAGCAACCCTACGATAGTGTGTTGATCCGTTTGATATCAGGCGGGCACTTAGCAGGGGAAGATTCTGGGATATGGTTGAGATTGAATTGGCTTATGGGCGCAACGAGGATGTTGCGATCCTAAGTGGGGGTGAATCTAATATTTGAGATTTAATTTAAACAGATTAATAGTACTACTCATACCAAGGACAAAGTGCACGGTAAAGGCCCGTGGTGGTTTGTGAGGATAGTACTAGAGGTCTGGAGAGTATTTATGAGTAACTACCTCAGGTCATACGGGGCGGGGTGGATGTGACGTTTTACTTGGTACGGCGACCCAGGCGCATGTGGAGAGGATATTCTTATCGAGGAAGGTACCATCGGATGTAGATGATTAGCTGAGGGCTGTTCCTGTCGAAGGCCCCTTAAGGCCGAGGGCTCCAGGTGCTGAGGGCTACTGTTTTTCGCCGTTTTCTTCCAGTGACTTTGTATGCTGAAAATAGCCTTTTTGTGAGTATCTGGAGCCTTCAGCCAAGGGGCCGAAGGCACCCCCAGTGTGCATTGTTGGCTGCTTGGTACTCGGGGTTATGTGATTTGGGCCTGTTGTGCTTCCTGGGCCTATTGGGCCTTTGTTAGAGCAGTAGGAGTCTATGGGCCGGGGGTCCCTGGGCCATATACTCCATCACGAGTCCCTCACTCCTTTTGCCGAAAGGTACTTGAGGGAAAAGGAGTAATTGTGTTTGTCCTCTGCCATTTGTTCCGTTGTAGTTTGTAAAGTTGTGAGTAGTTCGTTGTTTGCATGTTTCTGCCGAGGGCAGTCCCTCAGTTACCCACATTTCGGGACTTGAGGTATCATGTTTGCTGTTTGTGGGAGTTTTTTGATATCTTTGTATTTTGAGATTTTTCCCAAAGGGGTCCTCCAGTCCCCCACTCCTTGAGGCACTTGCAAAGTGGTGAAAAGGAGTAGAGTAGTGCTTGCCTGCAATATGAAGCCGAGGGGTGACACTTTTCGTTTCATTTTGGGGGGATGCCTCGTTAAAAACCTCATTAGAAAAAACCCTGTGGGAAAAAATTCTAATGAGGGAAAAATGCACTGAATTCCCCCAATGATGAATCGAAAAGGTGAAACCCTGGTCTGAAATGTGTGGCAGTATTCTTGGCGAAGGCTATCCTTGTCTGAGGGCGCGTGTGTTGCTTTGCCGAAGGCGCGCTTGTGATATCCTGAGAGATGTCGAAGGGGAGCCCTCAGTTCATGGGAATGAGGGCGCGGTGACTGTAGGTGACATTTCCTGTGTTGTCGAGGGGTCCCCTGTCTGTTGATAAGTTGAGGGCCGTGGTACCCTGGGGGGTTTCCTTGTTGCGTAGCCGGGGGTAACTGTTGATGAAGGTGTGCTCCCCGGGGGTTACGTGGTCTTCAATGTGTTTGAGGGTTGAGTGTTCCCGAGGGGTGTGCCTGTCGTGAATCCGTGGGCTTCTGATGGAGTGAGCCCGAAGGCAATTGTGATGTAGCATGGGGGGCACAGGCCGGGAGAACCTCTGGGTAAGTGTACCCGGGAGCTCCTCTTGATGAAGTGGAGTGAAGGAGAAAACCCGGGTTCCCATAATATAGCCGTTGTAATAGAGTCGTTGGAATATGTAACGTCGGAAACATAGCCGTTGGGGGGGGCTTCCACGTGGCGCGTATCCATTGGCTGTCTGCGGGCGGGTGTTACCGATTGGGCGAAACGACGGTAAGTAATGATGATTCTGTAACCGGAGGCCCGGTTTTTGGGCCCAAGCCCGGATCTGGCCGCCTATAAATACCCCATGGCCAGGGCCATTTTCCTTGCGCGATCATACTGTAGCGAAGCTCTAGCAATTTGATTTCTGGAGAGAAAATTCCCTTCGGTCAAACCAAGTGCCCAAGGTCAGTTCTCCCCTCGTTCCTTTTCCAGCTGCATACTTAGTTTTTCCTGCCTTAGGTTAAGTGCTAGGGTTGGTTAGGAAGCCTTCGTCTTTTAGCCTTCGACCTTTTGTTTCGAGAATGTCATCTGCAAGCGATTCGCATGACATTTCGAGGGAGCCTTCAGCTGAGGCGGAAACTTACTCTGACGTTGATCCTTCGAGCGAGGAGCCCTCGGCGGCTGATGATGCTGTTATGGCCATGGAGGTGGAGAAGGATCTCATGGCCGAGGTCGAGGCTGAGGACTTCGAACAAGTGATTGAAGACGAGGAGATGGCCCTCGCCATTCAAGTAGCTGAGTAGGAGGAGCAAAAAGAGAGGATGAAGGTCACCGTTGCTGTTCTTCCCCCTCGTGATGCAGGTGAAGCCAGCACCTCTCGGCCCCTGAACCCGAAGCCTCTCAGGGTAGCCCCCGACAAGAAGAAGAAGGTCGCCACTCCCAAGAAGAAAGGTAGCGTCGCTGATCAGGGGAAGCCAGTTGACATGCCCGAAGGCTACTCCTTCCTCAATACGGCTGCCCTCGAGATAAGGTCGAAGGCAGATAGGGCCGAATGTTATGTAACTCAGCTTCATGTGGGTCCCTCGGCGATGGTGATACAGCCTGGTCCAGAAGACGTCCTCTCCCGGTCTCCTGAGGGGTGTATAGCGGTGCACATACTCTCAGTGTCAATGGGCATCCGGTTCCCTCTGCACCCTTTCCTTCGGGAATACCTCAGGTTCGTGGGCCTACTTCCCTGCCAACTCACGCCCAACAGCCATTCCTACATCACCGGGTTTCTTCACCTCTGTAAGTCCCGGTGGGTAACACATAGCTTGGAGTTATTCTTTCAAAGCTTCAACTTGTGCCGGGGGGCATGCGAACGCCGAGGGTTTGCGAATCTACAGCAGCTATCCCAGTTCAAGCTGTTCACAGAGGCGCCCTCTTCTAACAAAGAGTGGAAAGACAGATGGTGTTACGTGAAGTTGGATGAGTGCCCGTTCCCGAGGGAGTTGCGGGACCGCTTTTGACGGCATCCAAAGATGAGGAGTGCTGCCCTTGAGAAAGACGGTGGGTAACACATAGCTTGGAGTTATTCTTTTAAAGCTTCAACTTGTGCCGGGGGGCATGCGAACGCCGAGGGTTTGCGAATCTACAGCAGCTATCCCAGTTCAAGCTGTTCACAGAGGCGCCCTCTTCTAACAAAGAGTGGAAAGACAGATGGTGTTACGTGAAGTTGGATGAGTGCCCGTTCCCGAGGGAGTTGCGGGACCGCTTTTGACGGCATCCAAAGATGAGGAGTGCTGCCCTTGAGAAAGACGGCCTGATCCTGGCAAAAATCCCGGAGGGCTGGAACAAAAATAAAGCCATCAAAGAGTGCACCCTAGAGAAGGATTTGCATGCCCTCGGGTTCCGGCGGTATCGTTTTCTTGGGGAGACCGACGAGAAGTACCCCGAGTTGGACAGAGCCTTCGAGGGAGTTGGAGGTTGGTGCCGAGGGCGTTGAGTTTTTGTACTTAGGATTTTTTTGTATTTTTTGATTGCCTGTTCACGCTTTCTACCCCTCGGTCTAACTGCTTTTTGTTGTTTGCAGGCGCTAATATGGACGGAGGGAAACTTTTCACCATGAAGAAGGAGCCCTCGGGCCAGCAGCCCGTAGAGGCATTTTTCCAGAAGGATGTGGAGCCTTCTGCTGTTGTTGCCGCCGCCGAAGGAGTCGGGGCATCTCAGGCCGATGCGGCCGCAAAGAAGAAGAGGGGCGGCAAGGGGGTTGAGCCCCTTGCCAAAAAGCAGAAAATTGTCGGTGATGTCACTGATAAGGCGGCCCCCGTAGTCATCATAGAGGATCATTCCTCTCCCGAGCCCTCGGTTGTCACCGCGGTGACAGCTCTGACGGACCTTCCCCCGGGGGACTTTCCCCGGGAGACTCAGCAACTCTCCCTTGCTCCGGGAGCTTCCGTGATGCATGGCTCGGCTGAACCGAAGGCGTTCCTGAGGGGGATCACTTCGGTGATGGATAAGGCGGCCCTCTCGACTTATGACGACGAGGCCCTTGAGAGCAAGATCCTCCGATCTTCTCTAACTGTAAGTATTTTCACGTGTTCCCCTTTCTGAATACTTACCATATTTTGGCGTGATAACTCAACCCTTTGCTTGTTGTTTACAGGCTTGCGTAGCCCTCGGAGAGCATGCACGAAGGCTCGAGCAGTGGCATCTCCACAAGGCGGAGCAGGATGAGAAGATGAAGGAGCTCATCCTCAAGAACTCTGACGCTGTGAAGCAGATGGCTCAGCTGGAGGAGAACCTTCGGAAGGCTACCGAGGGGGCTGAGCAGAGGCTGAAAGCTGTCGTGGAGGAGGCCAAACTTGAAGCTGAGAGGGTCGCCGCTGAGGCCTCAAAGAAAGCTGCTAAGGAGGCGGAGTCTGCCAAGGCCGAAGCCGTCGCCAAAGCTAGAGAGGATGTCGTCGCTGCATTCCGTGCCGAGGGGTGGATGGTCGAGGGCCAGAATGAGTGGGTCGCCTCGGTAGTAAAGGCCTCGGTGGATGACTGGGTGAAGGGCCTTGGGGCTGATTGGATGGCTGAAAGGGGGGATAGCTACTATCAAGGGGGTGAATTCTTCACCCAACATTTGATCTATCGGAGGCTCGCTAGGCACTTCGGTGTATCCCTCGAGCAATTCGACCCGTCGGTGTACGGCCTCCCTCCGTTGCAGCCAGATGTGAGAGTCCCCCTTCCCCTGGGCGAGGAGAGGCCGGTGATTCATGACTCCATGATGATGGGCGGAGATGATGATGACATCGGGGAAGAGGTCTCCTCCAAAGCCGCCGAAGGGGCCGATGATGAAGCTGCCAACCCATGACTTGTACTTAGATTTCTCTTGAGCAACATTTGTAATGTAAAAACATTTTATGGCTTTCGGCTTCGGCCAGTTTGTAACAAACATCTTAACTTTTCTTCGATGAATGAATGTCTGCCTTCGTCTTTTCCTTCCTTTGTGTATGAACGTATGCTTGCACGATGATTTGGTCGAGGGGCCAACTTTTAGGACTTAGAAAATATTTTTCTAAGTATAGTGCATCCCGTAGCCTTCGGCTACCAGGTCTCTTTAGTCATGTGAATGTTTGACCGCGGGCCCAATGTTTAGGACTTAGAAAAAATTTCTAAGCGTAATTTTCACATCGAACCTTCGGCTAGTAGACCCCTCCGGTCGTATGAGATAGGAGCCTTTGAGTGAATGTGAGAGCCTTCTTGTAGGTGTGCCTTCGGTTGACCGGTGATGTGACAGAGGGCAAAGCATTCAGGACTTAGAAAAAATTTCTCTAAGTGTTGTTCAGTACCACGCCTTCGGTCATTGGACCCCTCTGGACGTGAGAATACTTGACCGAGGGACAAATATGTAGAACTTAGAATAAAAAGATTATCTAAGCGTTTTTCACCAAGTGGCCTTTGAGTAATGTGGTAGGAGCCTCTTGGTGACCTCTGTGGGATGGCCGAGGGCCAACCATTTAGGACTTATTATGTTTTCTAAGTGGTTGAGAACCATCTGGCCCTTCGGCATGGGGAGCCTTCAGGGTTGTAGCCTCTCTAAGTGAGACCTCCCTCGGTCGTGACGGTAATCCCGGGGGCACCCACCCTAGGATAGTTTCCTTTAACCCGTGAGCACTGGCCTTCGGTGATATGTAGGAGGTGCCTTCGTTCCTCGAGTAGCACATGGGCCTTCAGGATTTGTCAGGTTCCTCCAGTGTGGACTTAGGAATTTTCATAGTCCAAGTATAGTACGGAAAGATAGACGCCCTCAGGAAATGTTTGGGCGCATTCCCTCGGTGTTTTAGTGAAAAAGCCGGGGGCACTGCTGCTTGAAATGTTGTTGAGTAGACTTGGCCAGTTCTATTCCTTTAGTTGGATTAGAGCCTTCGGCGGCAGTGACTTGTCCATTTGTTGATGACATCTGTTGAATAGTAGCCTTCGGGGATTAGTAACTCCCATGCACCGGAGGTGTTCCTGCGGGGAAGCCCTCGGTATGATGTTGAGATTCCTTGTAATGCCGAAGGATTTCCTGTTGTGATTTGTTGAAGTTGTGTACTCATTGATTTCTCGCTGAGTCTACTCCCCTTCACTCCCTCTCCTTTTTTTTGTAGTGAAGGGAAGGCTTAAAGAAACTTGGTTTCTTGGTAAGGCTTGGCCTATCAGGAGGCAATAGAATACACCATTAGCTCCCCCTCGGGTTAACCTTCCGAGTTCTGAGAGGATCGAGGGTCGTTTCCTGGGCATAAGACATAGTCTGTAGCCTGCCTCCCCTTGGGAGATGGCACGGAAAGCGCCTCAGTTTTGAAAGTCGTCCCCTCAGTGCCAGACATAGTCCGCGGCCTGACACACCCTTGGGGTAGTGGCGCGGGGAGCATTTCGGTTTGGAAGTCGAATCCTGGGCAAATTAGATGTCTGCCAATCCCTGGGGGAGATGGTGCGGAAAGCGTTCCGTTTTTGAAAGTCGGATCCTGGGCATATTACTTGCCTGTCATACCCTTGGGGTAGTGACGCGGAAAGCGTTTCAAGGAAATTTTTTCATTTGCACACTGGTTGCAAATGGCCGGGGGCACTACGTGCTACCGGCACCGATAGGTGGCGCCTTCGTTATATGCGTCCTCGAGGGGTACGACTTTAGAAACAACACTTGGTGTTTGTTCCGGTATACGGCCCCCAGTACTTAGTACCGAGGGGTCTTCTTTGAAAACACCGGGTGTTTTCTTCATTTGTTGAAGGTTGATAGGAGTGCATACCCTCGGCACTTGGTGTTTTTTCTTCTGTTTGTTGAAAGTGATAGGAGAGTGTACCCTCAGCACTTGGTGTCGAAGGGTCTTGTTACGATAAGGCTTTGGGCCGGGAGCTCGTATGAGGGCTTGGCCGCTCATAAGAGTCTCGCCTTCTGTTTTTGTGTCTCCAATATGTCTTCATTCTTCAAATCGGAGGCCTTGGGCCGCAGGGTAATACATTCACTAGTTATGAGGGCTTGGCCTCTCTATTACTGATAAAATTTAACTAAGTGATGTACATTCCAATGTCTAGGGACCTCGGTCCCATTGGGGCGTTTTAGCTTGTAAGTCCCAGGTTTGATGACGGCTGCAATGATGTACGGGCCCTCAAATTTTGGTGCCATCTTGCCTCCCTCGGTTGGCTGGCTAGGTTCCCTCCTTCGGAGGACATAGTCCCCCACTTGGAATTCTCGAGAGCGAACCTTGGCATCGACGTAGCTTTTGACTTGCCTTCGGTAGTTTTCCGCTCGCGCGAAGGCTTGCTCTCGGCGTTCTGAAATGAGGTGGAGGTCGAGGGCCATGTTGGCGTCGTTGACTTCGGGGTCATACTGGATCACCCTTCGGGTAGGAAGGGTCACCTCCGTAGGAGCTTTAGCCTCAAACCCGTAGAGAAGGGAGAAGGGTGTTTCACCCGTTGCCCGCTGAGGGGTGGTGCGGTAGGCCCATAAGATGTTATGGAGTTCTTCTACCCATCCTCCCCCTTCGGCCTCCAGCTTCTTTTTTAGGCCTTCGAGCAAGATCCAGTTGGCGTTCTCTACTTGGTCGTTGCCCTGAGGGTAGGCAACGGAGGAGAAGGTGTGTTTGATGCCCCATGCCTCTAGGAGGGAACAGAAGGGGGCTGCCTCAAATTGAGTCCCGTTGTCGGAGATGATTTGCTGGGGGACGCCAAACCTTGTGAGGATGTTCTTGAGAACAAAGTGACGGCATTTGGCCTCGGTGATGCTTGCGAGGGGCTCAGCTTCCACCCACTTGGTGAAGTAGTCAATGGCGACAATGATGTACCTGTTGTTGGAGGTACCCCTCGGCAGAGGGCCCACGAGGTCTATGCCCCATCGAGCGAAGGGTATGGATGTGCTGATGGGGGCATAGTTGACCGCTAGCCTGCCGGGGGCTTTCTGGAAGTGTTGGCATGTGGTACACCTTCGGGCGAGATCCGCACAATCCCGGGCCATTGTAGGCCAAAAGTAGCCTTGGGTGATGAGCCTTCGGGACATGGAGAAGGGTCCCTGGTGAGCTGAGCAAGTGCCACTGTGCACCTCCTCCATCGCAACCTCGGCTTCATCTTGATGAAGGCACCGAAGTAGCATCCCGTTGTATGATCTTTTGTAAAGCCTTTCGTCCTCGATGGTGTAGCTGGGAGCCCTCAGCCTTGCTAGCTTGGCACGGGTCTCATCCTCGGGCAGTTGCCCTGCGGTGATGAAGGCGATAATATCTGAGATCCAGTCCTCTTGCCTTTGTTGTATGTGTATGACGGGGCTAGCATGTATGCTGGAGAGGCTCAGCTCCTCGATTTTGGCAATCTTGGAGATATGCTCGGGGGATTCGGTCGAGAGCTTCGATAAAATGTCGGCCTCGGAGTTTTGAGCCCTCGGTATTTGAGTAAGAGAGTGTGTCTCAAATACCTTAAGCAACTCCTTGGCCGCTTCTTTGTACTGCTTCATTCTTCCTTCCTTGGCTTTGTACTCCCCAGAAATTTGGCCGACGACTAACTTGGAGTCGCACTTGACATGGATCTGTCGGGCCTTCATGTTAGCTGCCAACCGAAGGCCACAGAGGAGGGCCTCGTATTTGGCTTCGTTGTTGGAGACCTTGAAGGAGAAGCGGATTGCATAATAGGCCCGGAAGCCTTCGGGTGAGATGAGAACCACCCCTCCTCCACATGCTTTGATAGCAGAGGAGCCGTCGGTGTAGAGGGTCCACTAATCGTCCGAGGGAGCCGAGGGCTCCTCGTCCGTGGCCGATCTTGCCGTGCACTCCGTCACGAAGTCCGCTAGGGCTTGGCCCTTGATGGCGGGCCTCGGACGGATATCGATGTTGTATTGGCTCAGAAAGATAACCCATTTTACCATTCGGGAGGAGCTGGTGGGGCTCCTAATCAAAGCGCCGAGGGGTTGGTGAGTGAGGACATGGACCGGGTGAGCTTGGAAGTAGTGGCCCAACTTCTTGACGGTCCAAACAATAGCCAGCACCGTCTTCCCCACAGGGGAATACCGGAGTTCTGCTTCCCTAAGGGTCTTGCTAACATAGAAGATGGCATGTTGGACGCCATCTTCTTCCCGGATGAGTACTGAGCTGATGGCTGCCGGGCTAACACCAAGGTAAAGGTATAGGGTCTCTCCTACCATGGGTTTGGAGAGTACAGGGGGCGAAGATAAGTACCGTTTCAGTTCCTCGAAGGCCTCCTGACACTCTGAAGTCCACTGGAAACCGGCGGTCTTCCTCATGATCTGGAAGAAGGGTAAGGACTTCTCCGCTGATTTCGATAGGAAGCGGTTGAGGGCTGCCAGGCGGCCCGTCAACCGTTGGACCTCCTTCACGTTGCGTGGGGGCTCCATTTTGATGATGGCCTGAATTTTTTCGGGGTTGGCCTCAATACCCCTTCGGCTCACCATGTAGCCTAAGAATTTTCCTCCTTGCACGCCGAAGGTGCACTTCTTCGGATTTAGCCGAAGGTTGAACTTCTGCATGATGGCGAAGATCTCCCGGAGGTCGTCAGCATGGCTGGAGGATTGTTTGCTCTTGACGATCATGTCGTCAACGTAAGCCTCCATGGTGCGCCCTAAGACGGCTTGAAAGATCCTGGCCACCATCCGGGTGTAAGTGGTGCTGGAGTTTTTTAGGCCGAAGGCCATCACTAGGTAGTAGAAGATGCTCTCGGGAGTCATGAAGACTGTTTTTTCGGCGTCTTCCTCGTGCATGAAAATTTGGTGATACCCTCGGAAGGCATCGAGGAAGGACATGATTTCGCACCCTGCGGTCTCATCTACCAATTGATCAATGTTTGGTAAAGGGAAAGGGTCGATGGGGCACGCCTTGTTGAGGTCCGTGTAGTAGTCCACGCACATGCGGAAGGTGGGAGGCTTTTATGCAAGGACTACGTTTGCTAGCCATGAGGGGTATTTCACCTCCTTGATGTGCTTAATAGAGAGGAGCATGGCGACCTCC